CATTCGCCTAAACTTATGGCATGGGCTGCGTATGCGCCAGAGGCATTACCGGACCCTTTTTCTTACGAGAAACGATATTTACTGAACTTTACGTTACAATTTTGGAACAATTTGTAAGCACTCAACTAGCGCTGGAGGATCGACCAGGTATCGATTTGTTCCTGCAAGATGGGGCTCGACCACATCGAACAAAACTTTGTTCCACATCGAACAAAGTTTTACACTTTCTTCATGAATACTTTGGAAATAGAGTAATTGCGTTAGATTCCTCAATTCACTGACACAGGAATAGCTTGGCCTCCATATTCTCTCGGTCTGAGTCCTTGTGACTTCTTTCTGTTGGGCACATTGAAAGACGCTGTCTATCGAACAAAAGCCTGCTACTCTAGATGAGCTTGAATCGTTAATTGGTGTTGCATGTGATTCCACTTCCCTCGAGACATTGCAAGATGTGATGTCAAATTTCATTCTTCGTTTATGCCACCTCATTGGTTCGAAAGGTAAACATTTTGGAAAAATTGTATTTTGATTGCAAAGGCTGCTTCATTTTATTCTTTTTATTAATTTTTTGACTCCTCTCAGAGAAAGAGTTTTCAGCGAAAAGCGTCATCTGTTAACGATTTTCGTAATTAAATTTTCTAAACTTTTGTACACCATTTTTACAGTTTTGCTAATAAACGTACAATTTACCGCATAATTCTAGAGATTTTTGTTGTAGAGATATTTACTTTTGAAATCAGGGCTTATTCACTGATCACCCTGTATGTACACTGCTCAAAAAAAGAAATGGGACAGTTCTATATCTCCCGTTCTACTGGGCCGATTGACAAAATTCAAATTGCGTTCTTCATGTCTCGAAAGCGCGACTTAGGATATATATTAGATTTACATATAGCACTATTCTAATAGGTATTTTGACACAAAATCGAACTTTTCTGAAATAACATACCAATTTTTTTACATATTTCGAATCTACAACTCAAATTACGCCTAAATATAAAATTTTGTAAAATTTGGAGCGAAATTTACGGAGAAATTCACAAATTTATATTGGCACTTGTTTTTCAATTTGCGCCAAGAATATTTCACTTGGCGAACTTCTTAATATATGGCAACCTAGTTTCCTTTCACGTGAGAGGGAAAAAAGTCACAATCGTTCCTTTTTTCCAAATAATATTCTTTATATTATATTTTTAATTATAACTGTTATTATTTTAAGTATTTTTTTTCTTTTTTCGAATTTCATTTTAATTGTTTAAGTTGCATGGTTTTTTTTTTTTTTTTTTTTTTTTCAAATAACTGTTTTAAAATTTTCTATTTACCTATTCTAACTGCGTAAATGAAGGTGCAGCGTTTATTTTTTTTCAACTAGTTTTCTTTATATATATTTTTTGTCATAGTTATTATTTTAGTAATTTTTAAATTTTTATACTTTTATTTTAATTGTTTGTGTTGCATTGTCTCTTCAGATAATTGTTTTAAAATTTTCTATTTATTCCTTCAAACAGAGCATTTTAAATATATTTAATAATATAAATTTTCCAGAATTTGATTTTATTTATTTGAATTGCGTTTCTTTCGGAAGAATACTTTGCAACCCAGACTACGATGCGTTTGAAAACTGCATATATTAAAAGAGAAAGTACAGTAAAGCACAGTTAACACGCCTTTCAATGTTCCGTTCAGAAAAGATATATATAAATAAGAGAGATGTATAACCGACATTTTAACTTAGGATGACTTGCATACACTGCTTTAAACAGTTTTATCATTGTGCCCATTGCTTTACACAATTTTATCCTACATTTGGTTTCTTAAAATGTTATTCATATTTTAGTCAAATATTTTATTTTTGAAATTCCAAGAATCAAATATCATAAGATTAAAAGGTTTTAAATTTAAAAAAAAATACAAATACTAAATTTTACGCAAAAATTTATTTTTCTTCTCTTTTTCTTCAGGCATTCTACTTTATTCTTGCTCTTTCTCTTTAGGCATTCTGCAAGTATATTAAAAAGCATCCAACTTTTCGAAACATCTTGGTATTTCTGACAATCATTTTAAATAAAGTTATCGCCTTCCATTTCATAAAGGCCCACAAACGGCCGAGCGGTAAAGTCGCTGAACACTGGTAGTTCACTCCGGGGTTCGAATCCCGGTAAACGGGCTGGTTGCATGGGCGTTTTCGTGGATTTTCCCATGTGTACCGTGTATGCCAGCTGGTTTCCCTTAGAAAGTTCTTCACAAAGTATTTGGTCAGAGCTTTTATCAGTCTTTAGAGGCTAAACATTTTGAAGGTATGAGATGAAATTAAAGACTGGTTTCCTCAAGAGGTTTTGGTTTATTTAATTATGACAAAGCACACTAGGGCAATCTGCCTAAGGGGAGGGATGCCTTCGTGGAGGACTGTCTAAGGGAAACTGGCTCGCATACACGTTACACATGAGGAAAACCACAAAAACGACCATGTAGCCAGCGCGTTCGCGGGATTCGAACCTCGGACCGAACTGCCAGTGTTCAGCGACTTTACCGCTCGGCCGCTGTTTCATCAGGAGGAAAAGAAAAACATCTTTAGGTGACATCCACATACATCACTGGATAAACTCTTGAATCTTCAAATAATTCGACTGAGAAAGTCATGGGATTCTCCATTTATGATACGATATGATTTTCTATAACGTAATTTAAATTTATACAACCATACAGTCTAAAACCAGTCGCTCTTCACTTTAATCTGCAATGATATCGTTTTTGTCTTTTCTGTTAACACAAGCTTAAGTGATGGTATTTGCTGGTGTACACGTCCAAATGTTTTCTCTTCGAACACCTAAATTCTTTGAAGTATCCTGAAGGTATATTCAAAAGCGTCCAACTTTTTTAAACATCTTGGTATGTCTGACAGCCAAATTACCGTGCAAATTTTTGCTTACTTTTCTCCCTAATTTTCTTCTTTCCTTCTACAGTTATTTTCAGTTCTCACACAAGAAAATTAAGATTTTTTGATTGCTAGACTTCCATAAATTTTGCATTCTTTTCAATTTTTTAAAGTATCAGTTACATGAATTGCAATTCAGCTGAAGACAGCTTCATTTTCTAGTCATTTTAACTATAAATAAAGTTTAAAGCGAAGTCCAGGTGTGGTGTTTGGTGTATTTAATTATGGCAAAGTACACTAGGGCTATCTGCCTAAGGGGAGGGATGTCTTCCTGGAGGACTTTCTAAGGGAAACTGGCTCGTATACACGTTACACATGGGGAAAACCACGAAAACGCCCATGCAGCCAGCCCGTTCGCGGGATTCGAACCTCGGACCGAACTACCAGTCTTCAGCGACTTTACCGCTCGGCCGCTGGTGGGCACAAAGCGAAGTCCAAAGAATAAATATTTTAATTAAAAGATTTTTGCTAAATGACAAAGAAATAAAACAGTTCAGCAGGATTTATTCTGTACCACTGAGTGATCCGATTCCTATATCGGCTGAAACAATCTAAATCATATTAAAGATCATGTTTTTTTTATACAATCTATAACGCGAGAGAAAAATTAGCTTTTTAAAACATTCTTTCTAAGAGGATTAATGTAAAAGATTATATTATATATATATATATATATATATATTAAAGCTGGGACTTGAACCAAATTGTCAAACTTTTGAAACCAAACTTTTAAAGTTTAATTTACATGGTAGTTATAATTAAAGTTCCAATTTGAAATGGTCATAAAAGGAAAACTACCGGACCAAATGTTATCAAACTTGGGAATCGTGTAAGGAGGTTATGAGACTTTATTTTCCGCTGAAAAAAAAGTGTTTAAAAACTCACCACCAGGGGAAAAATGGCGCTGTATACAATATTGTTAAATGAAATAAGACATGAAAACATCTGTTTAAAATGTGTTTGATAGCTTCCGAAACGTGTTACAAAGCATGTTCAATGTAGAAAATTTTAAGATATTCTATGGAAACTGAGATTTTGAAAATATTTTTATATTTTTGAAGTTGCCTCGTAGCATGTAAAGTCTTCAAACTTCTATGACATGTCGTTATTATTCACAAATTTTCATGAAATGATAAAATATTTGATTTTTCCTTTGAAAGTTTTAGTATCATTCAGTAAACACCTGCAGTTAAACTCGCATGGCATTACCTAATTAATGCGAAATGGTATATATTCTTTGAAGAACAAATGGGATATATTCTAAGAATCTACAAAATAGTGAAATGTTTGATATGAAATGATAAAAATCTTGCATAAAATTCAGTATATTTTCGCTCTCATTATTGTATATCTCCTCCTAAATTCTAAAATAGTGATGTTTCAACTCTTATTATTTTCACTGTTGCTTATTTTATAAATTAGGGAACTGGGTAAATGTGGTAAATTTAGGAAAACATTAAAATACCTTTCCTCATTGGTTAAAACAATTTGTTGTTGATAAGCCTACTAATAGGAATTCGGTTAAACTTTTGAAAACTATATGGGGATAATGTGATTTTGTATAAACATTTTGGAGTGCTTTTCTATTTTGAAAAAGTGTTTAAAGCTATAAAAAGCGTTAAACTTGTTAAACGTTCATTTGAGTTCTTAGCGATTAATAACATGCATGTGTTTAATTCTAAATGAAAGATCATTCCTTGCCTAATTATGCGCTTACTATCTTAGTAAGCAGTCTTGTTTAACCTTAATGGGGTAATTTTGCTAAGGTGATTGGCGTCATCCAGAAAACATGATGTTATCGAAATAGATCTGATAAGCTAATTACAGAAGGATGAAATCACATGATAATGAATGTTCCATATGTATTAGTAAATGGAAAGCATTTGATTGTAAATGGAAGCAATATTGATTTTTGATCCATGTTGTCTGATTGGTGATTTAAGGGATTTCAAGATCCGTAGTTATAGCATATATAATTCATATCTTCCAAAATCAATATTACAGTGCCTTGTAAACTAGTTTTACGATTGTGCGCTGGTTGCTTGCTTCCATTTTTATGTTTAAAATGGCTAATACTTCAGTTTCTTCAATCTCCAATAATACTACTACTGATGCATTTATACCTAAAAAGGTAGGTTTTACTGTGTTTTATGAAATATATTTTTAAGATGTTTAAGGTTTATTACACGTATAATGTTTATGTTATTGGGACATGATGTACTTAGTGAAATTAAATTTGTGAAAAATGACTTAAGATGAAAATTTTATGGTGGATTTATGATGAATCCAGCCAGTACAGCCTAAGAAGTGTATACACATTATGAATATTCTAATAAATTTCATTTTTGTTATGGGAGTGTTTATGTATAAGATATGTTGTATGTACATTATGTACTAAGTTATTTTACTGATTATGAGTTTCTGCTCTTTTCTCTCAGGTATGTCCTATTTGTGATAAAGTGTTTGGTCTAAAGCATAATTTGACTCGTCATCTAAAGATCCATTCGGAAGAGAAATCCTTTCATTGTGCAGAATGTGAAATGTCATTCGTTCGACATAGCGATTTAAATAGGCATATGAAAATTCATGATGAAAAGACACCTTACCAATGCAGTATGTGTTCCAAGCGATTCACTCGCATTGATAACTTAAGAATTCATGAAACGATTCATCTTCGAAATTTTACTTGTGCGATATGTTTACAAGTTTTCCCGAAAACGGGTGACTTGAATAGACACCTGAAATCTCATGAAAGGAGCTACAAATGTAGTAAATGTCCTAAGAAATTTAGTGAACTTGATCATTTGGAAAGTCATGAAGCTTCCCATCTTAAAAATTGTATTGAATGTTCGGAAATTTTTACAAGCCAAAGAGATTTAAGATGACATATGAAAAAACATGAAGTTGTTTTTAAATGCAGTAGTTGCTCAATGAGTTTCACCAGTGATGATGCTTTGAGACAGCATGAAGCTTCTCATGTTAGAAATTGTACTGAATGTTCACGAGCTTTTAAAAGAAAAAGCAATCTTTTACATCATATTCGAGTGGAGCATGGCCTAACGCGAACCATAGAAAAACGAAGAAATGCTGATCCTGTCAGTGTACGTTCGGGTGATAAAATCACAAGTCTCAAGGATATGTTAGCTACTGAGTCGATTTTCTCTAATACAGGAAATGATCAAGACCTAGATGTGTTTCTGGAGTACATAAAATCACAACTTGTAGAAAAATTGAGTGATAATATAGCAACATATCGGTGTCTTAAATGATATGCAGTTGTTACTGTTAAAATGAGTCGTGAATGTGAAAATAGGGAACCTGAACACATTTACCCATATTTCCGTAGCAATTACTTAAAGCGTACGATATAGAAAAAAAATTACCGAAGCTTTCGAAAAAATAAAAAAGAGCTATGATGAGTTTATTGAAAATGGCTCAGGATGGATTCTGGAAAAAGTTATTAAATGTGAAATAAATATGGTCAGATACAGAGCATTTTCTTAGAACAGTTAATTATTCACGTATAATAAAATAAGAACATTAACTTGAAAATAAAAAAGTAAACAAAAATATATGCATGTATCGAATGATGATATTACATTGGTTAATGTAAATAACTGATGATACATGTATTAAGATAGTGAATGCTGACTTTTATGCAGTCTGAAGCATTACTAAAAAATCATTCATAAAGTTTTGATTTAATATTATGTGATCTACTTATGAATTTAATAATATTTAGTAAGTTTTCCATAGTAAAAGACTAATCCTAAAAGCGTTAGTGTTTATTTATTTCATTATATATAAAATATAAATAAGGGCTTTTTTCTCAGAGAGTTTCCTATGAAGGCAGAAATATTGTTAATTGTCTAGATGAGGACATGAAATTTGGCACTTCATTGCAAAAATTCGGTAGCTATCAAGTTAGCTTAAAGATAATTGGGATTCAAAACTAAACAATGGTAACATTAAAAGAAGTTTAAAAACATGCGCTCAAATATAAAAGGTGTTAAAAATATAAGGAACTACCAGAATACGCAGGAAATGTTAAAATTGAAAATTCAAATGAAGTTAATAATGAAATAAAATAGCAACATTATTCATGGCAAAACTACTACAGAAGGATAAATTGTAGGACTGGCAATTTAAAATAGTACTATAAAATACACTGGTGTACAAAAATTAAGGACGAGACGGTTTTTTCAATATAACTTTGTACAAAAGCTTTCCAAATCAACACATTTAATACCGTAAGATCCCCAATACGTAAGGACATGAGTAATGTAAGCAACACTTACTAAAAGAGAAATCAGAGGGATAAAAAGAAGCTTTATTGAAAAAGTAGCATGGAGCGCAATGCGACTGAAGGCCGAAGCATCCCTGTGATGGGTGTCCAGCAAAAAACATCCTGTCTTTAATAGGGGATATGATCTCCCCTGACTGCTAGGCAGGTTTCACAGCGTCTGCTCATGCTGAGAATGAGGGTGTCAATGAGTTGTTGAGGCATTGCTGCCCATTCGTCTCGCAGCGCCAATCGAAGCTCCGGAATCGTTACTGGTGGTAAGGTACGAGCTGCCAAGCGTCTGCCTAGAAAATCCCATACATGCTCGATGGGATTGAGATCCGGAGATCGTGCCAGCCAATCCATACGTTCAATATCCTCACTCTCTAAGAGCTGTTCGGCAGCTACTGTGCGATGACATGGTGCATTGTCGTCCATGAAAAGGAACTGCGGACCCATAGCGCCTCTAAAAAGACGCACATATGGTAGAAGAATCTCTTTACAATAACGGGTCCCGTTGACTGAACCTGCGTCGAAGATGTGAAGGTCTCTACGACTACCAAGCATGATGCCTCCCCAAACGAGAACACCGCCACCTCCATACCTGTCCCTTTCAATGATGTTCGAGGTATGATTGCGGCTTCCCTGCTCTCTCCAGATGAGTATGCGATGAGAATCGCTACTCAGACTGAATATGCTCTCATCTGTAAAGAGTACTCGTTCCAATTCATTGTCTCTCCAATTCCGGTGTTCCCGGCACCACAGAGAACGCTTTCTCCGATGGGCAGGCGGTAGAGGCACACACCGTACAGGGCGTCGTGCAAACAGACCACCACCGTGCAGTCTTCTGGCCACGGTAAAACGTGATATCGGTCGTCCACTCGCTTGTGTCGTGTGTCTAGCGATTTCTCCCGCTGTCTGCCGCCTGTTTCTTCTGGCCTGTAAGGCAATATACCGGTCATCTGCGGTGTGGTTCCTCGTGGACGACCACTACTAAACCCCCGGATAGCTGTTCCTGTAGTTTGAAATTGTCTCCTAAGTCGTGAAACGTTGCTGTGAGCAATTCCGAACTCTGCAGCCACACTTGTCACACTGCGGCCTTCCTCCAACTTCCCAATGATTCGACCTCGGGTAAAATCATCCAGATGTCGTCTAACAGATTGATTATTCGCCATTTCTCGCTGAGGCAGCAACTCGGTGTGATTTTAACTGCTATACGGCGTGCAATCTCTTTGTCAGAAATACTGATCTTACACCGACAGCATGCTTTATACTACTCAGACACTCCCCCATTACGTCTACCTGCATATCTGCGTATGTGCTACCGTACATCACCTTACTTAATCTCCTGATTGGTCTTTCTGCTCTGCCTCTTCGTTCAGCTGATATGCTAATTTTTCGACTTCGTCCTTAATTTTTGCACACCAGTGTATATACTTAGCAAGTGTTATTCAACGAATTGGATGTGAACAGTAGTTAACTGTTATAAAATAAAATGCTTAATTGTAAACTATCTCTATATTTAAGACGTTGCGTAAATTTAGTTGAAATGGTAAAATAAATAAAATAAATATATATTTATAACAAAAATATGATAAATACATTAAAATTAAAGGTACAAGGAAAACAAAAATGCTAAAAATGTTAGAAAATTACATCTAAAAGTAAAAATACAATTCATGCAAATAACGTGAAAATAAATTAAAACTTTAAGTGCGTTGAAAATTACGAAGGTTAAAATGTACGAAACAAGTTAAAAATTGCTTCTTAAATTAAATAAAGTTCATGTATATGATCAGAAAATATAGGAATTAAGTTAAAACTAGGAGTATACTGAAAATTGCGGAGGTTAAAATGTATGAAACAAGTTTAAAATTACAGTACTTTAAAAATTATGAAGGTTCAAAATGTACGAAACAAGTTAAAAATAACATCTAAAATTAAATAAAGCTCATATGGTCAGAAAATAGAGGAAATAAGCTAAAATTAAGAACACGTTTGAAATTACGAAGGTTAAAACGAATGAAATTAGTTAAAAACGTATGAAAGTCATGTACATAGTGTGAAAATAAATAAATTAGGTTAAAATTCATAATATGTTGAAAACTAAAAACATTCAAAAGTAGAAAAGTTGTTAAAATTTACATCTAAAATTAAATAGTTCATATATATGATCAGAAAATGGAGGAATTAAGCTAAAATTAAGAGCCTGTTTGAAATTACGAAGGTTAAAACGTATGAAATTAGTTAAAAATTAAGTAAAGGTCATGTACATAGTCTATAAATATGGAAAATTAGTTATTCAGAGTATGTTGGAAACTTAAAAAAAAAAACGTTAAAACTAACTATATAAATTGCGTTACATCTAAAAATTAAATAAAAGTCAGTTATATGATCTGAAAATATAGGAATTGTGTTAAAATTAAGAATATATTGGAAATTATGAAGGTTAAAATGTATGAAAACAATCCAGTAACATTCATGTATGTAGTGTGAAAATATAAATTGGTTAAAAATTAGAGTACATTGAATATTATGAAGGTTAAAATGTATAAAACAAGCTAAAAATGTAACATCTAAAATAAAGTAAAGGTTATCTATATGATCAAAATGCATGAAATAAGTTAAAATACAGAGTATGCTGAAGATCGCTAACTTTAAAAGAGCAAAAAAAGTTACAAATTGCATCTAACATTGAATAAAATAACACATAAAAACGCGTGTTTTAGTAATTACACTTGTGAAATATAACACATAAGTTAAAAGTATTGATTAAAAGGAATTCTGGGTAGAATAAATTTAATACTAAAAATGAGTAATGTAATTAAGCTTACGGAAAGTAAATCTGGTATTGTGAAGAGAAGAACAAGTACCCATTTTTATACCACGTCGCTAAGTAAACCGTGGCTCGGTGGTTAAAGCGCGTGGCTGCAGATCCCGACATAATGGGTTCGGGCCTGGCTGGTAATTTTTGAATTTGCGTTCTCCAGCAAAAAAGAAAACCACGTGATTCAAAATGGTGGCTACTCGAATATGACTCAAAATTAATTTAATAATTAGAAAGAAAATTAGATTAAAAAATAATCCAACATGACGGCGACTAAAGCATGGCGGGAGTCATTCAAGATGGAGGATGAAAGACCAGGTGTTCCAAAATGGCGGACGAAAACCACGTGGTTCGCGCCTCCACTTGCACCGATTCTGAATTTGCACCGCGGTGCTGGCTCAACCGCAATCCGCCTGCGAGCTTGCTCCGCCTTCTGTTTCTGAACGCCCCGTTTCACACTACTGATTTCTTTGATCCAAATCGATTAAAAGCGTTTTGAATCAGTATCTTCATGTTTTAGGGCCGAACTCAGGCTTCAAAAATTACAAATTAGCGATCTGTAAGAAAATGATTTCCAGATTGTGCGCACTTGTGCGAGTGATTTGCGATCTCACATTTTCCTAATCTCTAATTCGTGGTTTTCACGGACGAAATTTCTCACTTACACAGGATGGCGCACTTCGACTTTTATCGACCTTTAACGCCTTTAAATGGTAATTTGCTTACTTCAAAGTTTCTTAATATACAGGGTATACAACATATTAAACCCCTGTAAC